TTTAATTCGAAAGGATTCAATTTTAACCCAAATTTAAGTTACTACAAGTTTGCTCGAAATGCTTGCTTGACTTTAAACATATGTTCCATGTTCAAGAAATGTCTAATATTATAATATGAAAATAGGTATACATGAAAGTTAATTAACATAAATCTTAACCGATAGATGGTAAATATAGAAAATAGCAAGATACACCTGACTTGAAATTGATCTGGAAGTATTTTATTTTTGGTGGATGGGCCTGAGGCTTACTGTTCCATATGTCTTGAATCAACCTAAATATTTGGATGTGAATTAGTTAGGCTGACTTAGCCTAACCAGTTGAAAGGTTGAGTTTAATTCAAAATGTTTGGTCTAATTCTAGTTTTGGGATGAGTTTAAGCAGGAGGTTTGTAGCATGGCTTGTACCCTATCCAACTTGAATTATCTAATGACCTGGTTTTGTTAACATGGATTTGTGGTAATTGAAGATGTAGTATAAATATAGAAAATTGCAAGATACACCTGACTTGAAATTGATCTGGAAGTATTTTATTTTTGGTGGATTGGCCTGAGGCTTACTGTTTCAAATGTCTTGAATCAAACAAATTATTTGGAAGTGAATTAGTTAGGCTGACTTGGCCTAACCAGCTGAAAGGTTGGGTTTAATCCAAAATGTCATCCGATGGCAAGGACAGAAGACGATCATTGGAGGAGTTTAAGCAGCTGAAAGGTTGGGTTTAATCCAAAATGTCTGGTCTAATTTTAGTTTTGGGAGGAGTTTAAGCAGGAGGTTTCCAGAAGTAGCATGGCTTGTACCCTATCCAACTTGAATTATCTAATGACCTGGTTTTGTTAACATGGATTTGTAGCAATTGAAGATGTAGTATAATATAAGATGTCAATTGTTCTGACTTAGCTCATTATAAGATGAACATCACGATTTTATCCTTGGCACAACTTCTTGGAAAATATACCGACAATCTATTACGGTAGTTTTGTTTGATAGTGCTAGTTTTGTTCCTTAAATTTCAATTATTAAAGTTGGATTCTTTTGGAGGATAAAATTATAATAACCCAGCCCACATAATGCGTGGTATTGTCAACTTTAGGCCATCTGAACCTCAAAGTTATATTCTTCTTGGTGCAACTTTCCATGAGGTTACCCACCTAGGAATATTTTACAAACACGCTTAACTCCCAAGTTTTCTATATTGTTACTCCAAAATGCACCTCATTTACATGCATGTAAACCTTTACTAATGTAGCCAACAATACTTTTTCCTTTGTCGATGTGTCATTTGATTCATTCTTAGATGATTGCATCTTAGAAACTTGTTAGGAGCTTCTTTGCCCTGACGATCACTCATTGCAATCGTTTGATTATCTTCATCAAAATTGAGGTGTCATAAGCTAACCAAATTCTGCTGACTTCACCCCACACGGTATATTGGAGGATTGGCTCTGATCTTTAACTATACTAATCTAGCACACACATGCCCTTTTTTTTTGTGTGGCTCAGCTTAGCTTATACTAATTTGAACCTCATAATTTTATATTTTTTGTGCAACTTTCTTGGAACTCATTCAATCGAGGAGTCTTTAATATGACTACTCTTAACTTTAGAGTTTTCTAACAAAACTCTAATCATTACACCTAAGGGTGCCACACATGTGGGATTAAAATTTTACTTATAAAGCCTAGAATCCTTTTCTCTCTCTTTTTTTTAAAAATGTGATATTGTCCATTCTCGCTTCCTCCCAATTTCTATCCTGAATGTATGATGTCCTAGAAGTCTTCTCGGAGCCATTTGCCCAAAGATTTGCCCAATAATCAGTCCCCATCCTCATCAGATTTTGAATATCATAAGTCTTACAGTTTTGCTTTGTTCATCTCTAAACCACTCTTACTCTATTTGAAGTTTGGCTTTCATACCCAATTGTAACACTCCAACACAAACAATGTGAGGTTTTATTATCTTCAACCCAAGTTATGGATACTAAGCTGAATTTTATGATTTTATCCTTCTTAATACAACTTTCCAAGTGACCATCCATCATAGGAATACTCTTCACATGCATGTATAAGGGCATACTACAACCTTTTTTTATGTGGGGTTTAGTTAATTCTTGCCCCCTTCATCCTATAAGCTATCCATTTTATCACCCTTTCATTTTATCACCCTTTCCTCACTGTACCACCCACATTGTTTATGAGATGTCACATGAAATCTCAAATCTATTGAAGGACCATCCAATGATTACGGGGCAATAACTTGTACGAGTGGTTGCTGGCCTTCTAGTATGCAATATTTACGGATGGAAAGTTGGGCAAAGAACAAACTAAATTCCACATGAGAAAAAGAAGAAAAGTTTGTTGGACTATACAAGTAAAAGCTTAAATGTATATATGCTGAAATTCAAAATAATGTGGATAAAGCAAAATTCATAATGATTTCATTGATATGAAAATGGGTATAAATAACTCTTATATGAATCCTAGAATAAGAAAGATAATAAAAAGAAATAACATGAAAAGGAAAAATATATCACCTAATATCTCCAATAATCAAATCATATTAATTATTTAGAGGTAAAGCAAATTACATAAAATAGGAAAGTCTAAAACTCATAATCTAAGGAAATAAATGTAAAATAGGAAAAGAAATAACTTCTTAATCCAAGGAAATAATTTTTTCCTCATAATTTCTTACAGGAATAAATTATTTCCTGTATAACTCTTAATAGTATATTTGTGAGGCTTTCATTGTGTAGAATTTGTTGTTTTGTTGAACACTATATAGTTAAGTGTGTCTGTTCTAGAGCACTTATAGATAGGTGACCTCCTAAAAAGTTGTTTCAACGAAGATAAAATCATAATGTTTAGTTTTGTATAGGTTCGGCTAAGTTGGGCTAAAGTGGACAATACCTCACATTGAATGTGTTTGGTTGTTATAATTGGTAGTTGGGCCATCTAACTTCCATTAGGAGTGGTTGATTATTTGAAGATGCCGTGTTCCTCTGCAATCTGTCTCACTTGTGTGTCAAAATCTCACCAGTCAACACCCTTATTGGGTGCCATTACCTAGAAGTAGATATTAACAACTCCCATCTATTGGGTGATACTCTGATAAAAGGTCCATGCTCAAAAATATGGTTTGACGTGGTCATGTGAATGCTTTACAATTACCGCCATCTTTGCATGAAACTATTACCAGCAAACTTATTTGTGGAATTACAAAACGTGAAAATGGATTTCACCTTTAAAGTGAATTCAAATATCCTGTTGCAAGTTCATCATATTTGTTCTTTGGGTAACCATTTCATAGATTTTTGTTTGGGAAATGCAGTTATATTAATTTTATTGTATATCAGCCGGTTATTTTGGTGGCTTGGTCCTGCAATTTAAATTATATTTCACAATTTACTCTCCTTTTCCTTTATATAAAGACTGAAATATAGTACTTGCAACTCTAAATATCTTGTTTTTACGAGATCAGTGGTATTAGAAACATTTGGATGCTATGTTTGTAATTTTGGATGAGTCTCGCTTTCTGCGGTCTTTTCTTTTGTTTTTTTGTTTTTTTGTTTTTTTGTTTTATTGTTTTTATTTATTTTTATTTATTTTTATTTTTTGTTTTTTTTGTTTTTTTGTTTTTGGCTTCAAACTGAAAGATATATTCAAAATGCCCGTTTATTCGTAATGTATGTTGTTCAAGGGTCTTGGGGCTTTACTTCAAATTTAGGTTTAATTCTATATGATTTTATAAGAAGCAATGTTAACAGGTGATATTCTACTAAGAATTACGCCGAGACAACAATTATTTGTTATTAGCCATGAAAGTAGAAAACATATGTAGTCCAAACTTGATGATAGCATATGGCAATAAAAATTAACAAAAATTAACAGTTAGAATTAGAGATCACAAAAGCTTTGAAAGGTCTCTAAGCACAACCTTGGTATAACCAAAAACAAATTACTGGAATGGCAAATCAACAGACGTTGTGAAACCCATAACAGGTTTCTGTGGGCATATATTAAAGAGAATAATATAGAAGTCTACTGACTCTCATAACTTCATTACCATTCCATAACTTGAAATGCTAATGATAAAATTCTTATAAGCTATTAAATGTATAAACTAAAAATAATTCCAAAATTATTAGTAAAATGAATGCTTAAAGGTTCCCAGGAAGTTTTCTTTTGAAAACCAAAAAGCCGTATCTGACATGTTTGTTTCAAATAGCATGTGTATGTCATATGAAGGGACAGCCTCTTTAAAGAAAGGCAATTCAAATGGTGTAAAGAGGAAAATGTATTGTGTTACGCATCTTTGAATTTGATCAAATAGAGAAGAGTTTTAAACGTTAGTTTTTTTTTAGTACAACATTATCATGAATAAATATATGGACTTGCTGATGTAAAGAGATATGCTTCAGGTGGTTCTTTTAATTAATATGTAAATAAAGAAGTAAGTACCGAAATAAAAATTGATAATCTAATTTGATTGATTAATATAGAGATAATATCAATAGATAATTCCTTTTTAGTTACATTTTTTATCCATGTGTTCAGACAAGCATGAAAAAATCTAAATGCAGACTTCAACTGACTCAGCTAGTCTTATTTACAACAAAAAATTGAAGGGGCATTTACATACATAGCACCTGAAATATTGCTATTTACAAATCTTGCACCCTTTTTCATCCTTTTTTCAAATTTTCACTTGAATAGTAAAATTCATGATAAAACCCCAACCCTTATTTTTCATTTTTATCAAATTATATATAGTTTGATCATTACAAACATAAATGCATCTGTTTGCTTGTTCAAAAATAGTACCCGGTCGCTAGATTTTGTAAATAGCAATGTTTTGGGTGCTATGTATGTAATTATATCCCAAAAGTGAAATTTTAAAAAAATATCATCATGTAACTGCAGTATTCTGTACTATCATAAAAATTATCATCATTTTGTGCAGAGCCTAACCTTACAATTTATCTAATTTCACTAACATGCAGGATTTGGTGTCACAACTTAGCTAAATCAACTTTTATCCAGCTAAATTGCATCCATAATAAATACATTTTGACATGATATCACGCACATCTTTGAAGAAACTATTAGATGATGATATTCTGTTACATAGCTGGGACGATGTAACTTGCCCAATATGTCTGGACGTCCCTCACAATGGAGTCCTCCTCCACTGCTCCTCCTACAATAATGGGTGCCGTGCTTTCCTTTGCGACACTGACCAAACACACTCTAACTGTCTTACCCGTTTTCGAAGTGCATTCGGAGTACCCAAAAGCGCCGAATGTCAGACGACGAGTATGGCTGATGATTCCATTCAACTGATACCATCGAACTGTGAAAGCCTTCCAACCTGCCCTTTGTGCAGGGGAGAGGTGGCCGGTTGGGCCATCATCAGGGAGGCCCGCGCTTACTTCGACACGAAGGTGCGGCGTTGTGAAGAGCAGCACTGCTCTTATGTTGGTAACTTTGTTCAGCTACAGAGTCATATGCAGCTAAAACACCCTAATTCTCATCCTGCGGAGATAGACCCTGCACACCAATTGGATTGGGAGAATTTTCAGCAATCTTCGGCTATCATTGATGTCCTGACCACCATACATGCCGAAGTTCCGCATGGGGTTGTGTTGGGGGATTATGTCATTGAATACGGTGATGAGAATAACGAAGATGATTACGATGATTTTCGTGCAAAATGGTGTAACTCATGCATTCTTTATCAGGTATTTGGTAAGTTCAGGGGTTCGAGAAATGGAGGGAGAGCAAGGGGAAGAGCTGCAATGCGAGGTCGGCACAGATCAGCCTCTGTTGGTTCGACTGAGCGCTCAACATCATCTGGAGAGGCTTCGATGTACAGGTTCCACGAAGTGGAAGATGAGTTTCAAGGAATGGCTGCTTCAGGTAGGAGTCGCGCGGTGGCATCCAGAGGTTTCATTGATGGACACAGACACAGGTTCGCCTAAAATTTCTTTATTCCATAGTGGAATATTTATCAAGAAAATGCCATATCTTTGTATTTTTTCCTTGTTCTGCACATCTGAACCTAATAAGTCATTTTCATGTATTTCATTCCCCCTAAATTTACTGATATGTTTCCATCCTGCTTTCTATAGATATATATAAACCACCAGTTTTCAGATAGACCTTTTTTTTATACTCTTTCTTTCGGTCTCAACCAACCCATTATGCCCACAAATATCCGACATTAAATAAAAGGGAAATTTGCATACATACCACGGAATTCTTTTGTATTTACATATCGAGCACTTGAAGTTTAATATTTACATTTATAACACTTTGATGTGATAAGTTATGCATGAAAAAGATGTATTTCATTTTTAAAAATTTAATAATAGTGATATTTGATATGTGATATTAAATATTTCAATGTTTTGTATGTAAATATGAAAATTTAGGTAATAGTTTTGTAAATATTGTGTGGTATGTGTGCAAATGCCGCTGAATATAAATGTAAGGTTTAGTATAAGTAGGTATAGCTTAGGGCCATCTGTTGTGATTATAATCTCGGAATTTATCTGTCTTGCAGTTATAGGGGGCGCCGGCCAGGCCTAGGTGACCGTTAAACAAAATAGAACTTCCACATTAATCTGTTTCATTTTCAAGGCGGCTTGGCTTCCACCCAGAAACAGCTATCAATACTCTTTTTTCTTTCCTTATAGTTGCCCAGAAGGCGTTTATTTGTTTATAGATAGAAATAGTATCTAAACAGGTTCTACGTTGTCTGATGATTCTTTTTTTTTTACTATTAAATCAATTTCTACTAGTTTTTTAAAGAATCTTCGTCTGGATAGACTCTTTTGGAATGAACCTGGGATGGATTATGCCAACTATTGTGCTGGTAGCTGATTTGTTCTTTCCTATGCCATTGTTGGCTCCTAAGTCCCGGATGTGAAAAGTGGAGGGTTACGTTAGTTAGTTGACAACCAGTGTAAACTTTGACGAAAAATCATGATATGAATGTTTTTTATCATTGTGTAAATACTAGAGCATCCCTTGGAAGCGACATACTGTATGACTTGAATACAGTGAAAAGTGTGCAAAAGCCACTATACCGGCGCCTGGATGTAGTGTCAAATAAGCAAGGGTTTCTACATTACGGACTAATGCAGGTAAATAAATTAGTCTATGATAAAATAGGATAAGATTTTAGAATATAGGTACTTTGACAGATAAATTATGTAATTAGATAATACTATGATTTAGAAGGATAAATATCTTATGTATTCAAGAAACTAAATGAGTTGGAGAAAAAACTAAGGAGATTGATATCTTAAGTTTTAAACTTTGGTATTCAGGTAAGAATCATACTAGGAATGATGTAGATGTAATTATAGACAGGAGTTTAAAAGATAATTGATGATAAGAGTTTTATAGATAAGAGTTTTAAAGATAATGTTGTAAAAATTAATGGAGTTGGAGATAGAATTATAGCTATTAAGATTGTTGTTGATACTAATATTATTAATATTATAAATGTTTATGCTACTCAAGTAGGTTTAGATATAGACTCTAAAGAAAAATTCTGGAATGATCTTAGTAGAATTAATGCAAATGATACCTCTTGAAGAAAGAATTTTTATTGGAGAAGATTTAATTAGACATGTTGGTAGAGTGTTAGCAGATTTTAGAAATATTCATGACGGCTATGGTTTTTGAAGTGATTAATGAAGAAGCTAGAGTCATATTAGATTTTGATTTAAATTATGATTTTGTTATTTCTAATACTTTATTCAAGAAAAGAGATGAGCATATTATTATTTATAAGAATAGATCTAATAAAACACAAATTTATTATTTTCTTCTGATAAGAAGAGATCATCGATAATGTAAATATTGTATCGTCATTCCAAGTGAGAATGTAAATACTCAACATTAATTATTAGTTTTGAATTTTAAGATGAGGAGTCGTAAAATAAAAAAAAAATATTAGAATCATTATCATAGAATTAGAATTGATGGGGGCACCTAAAACACAAATAAAATTATTTTTACGAGTAAACTTCAAGTTTTCAAGATTTGGGATGTTCATGAAAAATAAACTTCAAGTTTTCAAGATTTGGAATTTTCATGAAAAATTAAATTTTATGTGGAATAAAGTAACAAATACTATTAAGCAAGTGACAAAAGATGTACTTGGAAATTCACAAGAAAAAATTTCTATAAATAAAAACAGTTAATTGTGGAATAATAATGAGTAAGAAAAGATAAACTATAAGAAGTTATATTATAAAAATTATTTTAAATGTAAAAGCTTAGAGAACTGGAAAAAATATAAAATGGCTCGTTGGGAGTTTGAGAGAACAATTTGTGACGCTAAAAAATTTGTTTTTAGTGATTTGTATAATGGATTAAATACTAAAGGGTGAATATATATATAAACTAGCCAAACAAAGTAAAAAAAAAGTAAAGATTTTAAAGATGAAAATGAAAAAGTGTTTTTCTTCGAAAATGATATTTTGAACATATGTGAGTGAATTATTTTAATAAACTTTTCAATGAAGTTTCTGAAAATACGGTCGACCTTAGTGATTTTAATATTGTTAATAATAATAAATATTTCATTTTTACCATTGCATTAGCAAAAAAAGAAGCTGAAGAGGCTTTAAAGAAAATTAAGGGTGGAAAGTCTGTAGGACCTGATGATATTCTAATTGAAGTGTGTAAATATTTAGGATATTTGGTGGTTTCTTGGCTTACTAAACTCTTTAATATTATTTTAAAATCTAAAAAGATGTCTGAAGAGTGTAGGAAGAGTATTTTGGTCCCCATTTTTAAGAATAAAGGATGCATAAGAGTGTGCAAATTATAGAGGAATTAAGCTAACTTGTCATACTTGAAAATTATGGGAGAAGATAATTAAACATAGGTTAAGCCGTATTATAAAGATTTCTCAAAATCAGTTTGGATTTGGCAGGGCTACTATGAAAGCTATTCATTTATTGATAGGTTTGACGGAGAAGTTCAGAGATAATAAGAAAGATCTACATTTGGTTTTTATTGATTTAGAAAAGCTACGATAAGGTTCTAAGAGATATTTGCTTGGAGAGTTCTTGAGAAGAAAGCTTTTGATATGACTTATATTCAAGTCATTAAAGATATGTATATTAGACAGAAGGAGGGTTGACCAAATATTTTCCTATTTTAGTTGGATTACATCAGGGATCGGCTTTTACAGGAGGATGTACCATGGTGTATGTTTTTCCCTGATGATATCCTTCTTGTGAATAAGACTAGAGAAAGAGCTTAGGAAAAACTAGAATTATGGAAGTTTACATTGGAATCTAAAGTCCTTCGTTTGAGTATAGCTAAAACTGAATACATGGAATGTAGTTTTAGTAGCGGTTGCTCTAGTGACGTTGCTCTAGTGACAGAGTTGTAACTATGGGTGATCATATTATTAAAAGGTGTGGCTGCTTTAGATATCTCGGGTCTATCGTTAAGTGATGGTGATATAGATCGTGATGTTATTAGTAGAATTCATGTTTGAAGTGGAGAAATGCTTCCAACCTATTGTGTGGATATAAAAGTACTGTTTAGACTGAAAGGAAAATTTTATAAGATGGTTGTTTGAAGTGGAAGAATGCTTCGAGCCTATTGTGTGGATATAAAAGTACCGCTTAGATTGAAAGTAAAATTTTATAAGATGGTGGTGAGACATGTAATGCTCTATGATGCAAAATGTTGCCTTTAAAAGAGAAGCATAAAATTAAGTATTGCCTATATGAGAATGCTTAGGTGGATGAGTGGCTTTACACTTAAAGACAAAATGCGAAATGAATATCTCCGTGATAGGGTTGGTGTAGCTCATGTGGTGGATAAAATTGGAGTGAGTCGTCTTAGATGGTTTGATCACATTAAACATCAACCATCTAATAATTTTGTTTGGAGAATAGATATTTTTTATTCGACTTATGTTAAGAAAGACAGGAATAAGCCTAGAAAGACTTGGGTTTATTGTATAAAAAATGTTCTTAATTTATTAGAATTAAATGAAAATGTGCCATTCAATAGGACATAATGGAGAAAAATGATTCATGTAGCAGGCCTCACTTAGTGGGATAAAGACTTGTTGTTATTGTTGCATTTTTCTTATCACAAAAAAAATTCATGCAAATCTTTTGAAATCTTTATTTATGTGTTTCACTTGGGTTGTAAGCAAGCCAAGCCAACTCGAGCTGGCGTCAAGCTTGCCTAGGTTTACCAGCTGATCGATAGTCACGTGGATGACTTCTCCAGTGAGTTACCATGACACTTGTCTAGGCCCGACAAGTTTATGTTCGCTCCACTTTTAGATCCCACCAACAATAATTTCTAGTAGTGGTGTTAGGGTAAACGTCCAAGCAATATCTCCATCTTCAATTTACTTGAACTAACACTCAACAACCGTCTCCATACATTCAGCATGCAGTTGGTACAAAATGTTAAATCTAATCAATTCATAATTTATCGTATCTTTGCATCATCATCATCATCATTATTCTAATTAATCCACCACATTTTAATTTAATACCCACTCCTTCCACAGTCCCTCTTCATTTTTTATGTTTGCAGGTAGTTGAAATCATCAAAACCAGATGGCAGTATTAAAAATGGCGCATTTGGATGAAATATTCCCAAGGTTAGGTCTACCAAAGAGCAAATAATGTGGCACTAATTACTACCTTCTCCATTCATATATATTGCTACGTTTTCTTGTTAAATTTTTATATATTGCTACGTTTTCTTGTCAATAGGACCCATAATTATAGCAGATGAATAATACCACTATACGTTAGCTTTTTGAAAAAAAAATCTGCAGCCTAACCTTTCTGATGTTTGTTGCTTCTGAGGTTTTGTGGTTCCTTCCACAATTGAGTAATTATTAACAAGCCAACATTATCAATACATAAACTTGATTTCAAATTCAAGCTTGTTTATTAAACAAAACACGAGTTTGTCGAGACTCGGCTCAATAAGTTTTTTGAGTCAGCTCAACTAGTCAATCAATGTTTGCTTCGGAGAATTGAAGCAACACTTCTTGGTCTCTCCAGTCATTTCATTCAAGTTTACAAGCCTATTGTTATTACTGCAAGCCAAGCTCGAGTTTGTTATTTGAGCTCAACCCGAGTTAGGCACGACTTATTTGCACCCGAAACTACCAATTACTGAATTTACTCCTTTATCAGCCTATGATTGACTGGTTCTTTCTTGATCCTCAATCATGTTAAATGACGGTAAAACATCTTTGTCTAGAAAATAAGGCAACTCTCCAGGCTACTTCTCGTCTGGATCCACATCTCTTTGCTGGAATTTATTTTGTTCTTCGCTTGAAATTATTAGATTATAATATTATGACAAAAAATAGCATATAAAGTTTTTTTAATTAGAATGGAAATTTATTTTTAATGGCTTTTAAAAATAAATGTAATATATATTTTAATTATTTATTATTTATAAACAAAATGTAATTACTTTGGAATGTAAGAATATAGATTTGATTTTCCATCACATATTTAAACATTATTATAATAACTCTAATGCAAAGGCCAAAATGTTTTTTTTTTTTTTAAATGTAATTTTTTAACAAAATTCTTATTTACATATCTAACACTTAAATTTCAAGTTTTTTTTTTTTTTTTTTTATATAATTTTTTAAAATATGGTACATTTTTTAATTAGGAAATTTACTTGGATTCCACTCCATTCTTATTTACATATCTAACACCTGAATTTCAACTTTTGCATGTATTTTTGCATGTATGCCATCTTACTTGCTATGGAAGGAGCTACTTCATTTTTCAAAAATTAAAGATAATGATATTTTTGTGATATGAAAGATTTTGTTGGTATAAATGTAAATAATGTAAATTTTAGGAGTTAGTTATACAAATACATTTACATGTATGCCACCATGTATTTACATACTTAATACCTAAATTTTCATATTTATATGGGATAGATTTGTAAACTCAGACGGAACGGTGCGTTGCGTAAAAAAATTCCTTCACTGGAAAAGCCTAAGAGAAGGCCGTGTCGGCAGGAGAAGTTCGGGGGAACACGCTTGAAATGACGGTGCAATTGACCGGAACCTTAAATTAATGTTTCGCCCGTGACCCGAAATAGATCCGAAATATCCGTTTCCTACAGATTTATGATGATACCACCAAATTTCTCCGTATTTACATATCTAACATCTAATTTTTTTTTTCTTTTACATTTATACCATCCAAAATGTTCAGATCACATAAAATTTTTTTTACAAATATGTCAATATTATGGTATGACTCATATATCATATAAGAGAGATATTAGAACGAAGTGGAGGGGAGAGGAAGAATCTGTCTAAATCGAGAGAGTTTCTTTATGTGGGTTGGGAGTGAGGTACACGAGTCATTTGATAATTACATGTTATACTTTAGGGTTTTCTAGAGTTATAAATAAACTTGTATGTAACTCTAAGTCTCATCCTATATTTTGTATTCTGTACTCTTTTCTGAATATTGAAGAAAGCCGCCGCTCTGCTCCTGAGGCCGTAGGCATCTTTGCCGAACCTCGTTAAATCTCTGTGTGTTCTTCTGGATTTGTGTCGATTCCTATTTTTCTTCGCCCTAATTTCTCAACAGTCACCTTGCCATCAAATGGTGTATTTTTGAAGGAATATGAAATTTTTGTGATATAAAAGTAAAAAAGCAAAGCTTAGTGGGTAGATAAGTAAATAAATAAGAATTGGGTGGCATGTATGTAAATACCCCTATTTTTAAATAATAAAACATTAGTCAAAGACTATTTACGTAAGCTATACATTTTTTTTTTCATTTAGTAATATTAACTTGCCAAGATTTATTTGTGCGTATTATTTCCTTCAATAATTGAGGCAATTTATGAACTTGCCTCATCCACGTGGCAATAACACTGCCGCCCATGTAATATATTATTTTCTTAATTATTTAATTAACTTTGCTTTTTTGCATGTGATATATTTGTTCATAGCACATGCAAAGCTTTTATTTTTACATTACATAAAAAATATTAACATTTTAATTTAAAAAAAAAAGCGAAATATAGCCTGTCATGCATAGATAAGGTATGTAAGTAAAAAAACAGGAGATTAGGGGTTATATATGTAAATACATAAAAATTTAAATGGTATGTAGGTAAAGCTTCTGGATAAGATATCTAATCTTATGCTTTAAAAATATGAGCTCAAAATTTTTCCAGCCATTAAAATCATTTTAATTAGTTATAATATGCATAACATTAATTTTTTAGACCATTTAATCTTTAAAAGGATTTATCAAAATTTTAAAATTGATGAGCTTTATTAGATAAGAAATTAATTATGTAACACAACTTTCGAATACATGTGTTTATCATTCTTATTCACATAACATGATCTTGTTATTTATAGGGAGATGGTACAATATAGTAATATTACATTTCTGTCTCTGCATTAATGAGGGTTGTACATAATATTCGGGGTATTTTATATATATAAGTCTTATCACTTGGCAGCTCTCTGCCTCGATTAGCTGAACTTGTTTGACTTCAACTTGGTAAGGCTGGTTTAGTCGGCTTGGTTGAGCCAACATTATTAGTCGACTGAGCTTGATTAGCTTCGGGTAGGCAAAAATGATTCAAGTGACGAGACTTTGTCAATTAGTTGATGTAACCTGGTTGTCGACCCTAGATCCCTAGATGATGACTTTTTATTGGTGGAGTGAAACTAGTTTATCGGGCAGATGATGAATCACCGTAACCGAATATGTTTCTCACTCCTCAATGAGGAAAACTTGTGAGATAAATATAATACTCCACTGTAGAATCAATTCTTGCTCCTTGATGAGGAGCCTCAGGGGCGTCCGTAGGATGGTTGGTGATATGGAAGAATTTGGGTCTTTCATCGGGTTAGATCTACCAAAAGGTAAGTTGTTGTTGTTGGTTAGCTTTTCTGTACTTGTTGGCTTGGACGCTTATATGCTTAATTTGTTTTAGTCTGATTGGTTTGGATTTAGGTTAATTAGTTATTCTTTTGTCCTCTTGGCTCACTCAACCTTCGGCTTTGGCTTAGGCGACTGCATTCGATCAAATAACTGGGCCTCTTGGTCTTCTGATGGTGGGCTCCCCTTTGTTATACTATCTTTCTTCTGGATTGTTAGAACTCCTCAAGATCAATGTTGCTTTTTTCAATGTACATGCAGATTATATTGTAATATTAAAATTAAAGAATACAATTTAGTAGAAGCGAAAATAAAACATAAAATATAATAGCTATTTTTCCTTCAAATAGTTAAGAATGCTATTATGTAGAATGATAGATGTTATTCTTTTCCATATATATTTATTGCCTTAAAAAATATGATTAGGATTTAAAATAATTAAAAGTTATTGATTCCTTAATAAATAACTAAAAACTATCTTTTCATTTTTTTATATGCAATCATAATATTTTCATAAAGAGTGACAATAAAAAAAAAACTAGACCAATATTATCACTATAAAAATTAATATAATCTCTCTCTCTCTCTCTCTCTCTTCACATAATTATATAGTTTATGTTGGCTAAGTCCATTGACCTAAAAAAATTAATATAATCTCTCTCTCTCTCTCTCTCTTCACATAATTACATAGTTTATGTTGGCTAAGTCCATTGACCTAAACACACAAAACTAAATAAGAACACATAGGGAAGAACAAATGAGACATTGAACATGTACATTCCACCTCCCCTTTCCTTTTCACCCATCTTTCCATATGAAAATAATTCATTTCTTTTCAGCCACATAGAAAAACCTCATATGATAGAGATTGGTCTAATAATAAATATATATAGTTAGCTTACGAGCTACTCATTGATGATGTTAATGATGATGATGAAAATGATGTTAGCGTGTCACAATCATCTTCAAGATCATCAAAAGCCCAAAATTCTTCTTCTTCTTCTTCTTCATCCATCCTCCACCGCTCTGTAGACATCTCATCTTTTTCAATGAGCTCCAATACCTGCCATCATCTAAGGGATTAAACGATTTTATAACATTATATAAGTTGATGGACCTTAATAGATTTACAAGTTGCGACATTTATCTTGGATTCAGGGCAAATCTTATCTAACTATATATTTTTATAAGCCACATAAACATTATTATCTTCTTATATCATTTTGTTTTCCTCATGTTTTAGTTACATTCTCAAATTAGTACATTTAAGAAGAACCTAGATTAGGGAGATTGGGCATTTGCATACATACTGCTCAATTCTTATGTATTTACGTCTGCACCACTTCTACTTTACTTTCTATATTTATACCATACAAAATTTTTACATTAGATAAAAAATATTATTATTTTAACTTTTACAAAGTGAATTGGCGTTTTCATGCATATATGTATGATGACATATACATAAAAATTGAAGTTGAGATATTAGATATGTAAATACATATACATAGGAATTAACTATCAAGTTAAATCATTATATAAATAGTTGAGAATTATGTGGTTTGTCTGTAAATGCCCTTATATTTTAAGAAAAAAAAAACCTAATTTTCATAATTTATGCATGTTGTTGCTTTTCATGATAATAATGAACTAAACAAGTAAACTAACAAAATAACTAAAATGTTATGGAAAGATACATCTCACCAACTCATCATGAACCAAATTATTTCGCTCCACAACCTAAAAATTACATATAAAATCAATAGCTTATTCAATAGCATCTTCTTTTCCAACAAATGCCATATAAAACTAGTTAAAATTAAAGTTCACTATCCATTAAATCAGTTTCTGTAGACAGAGAATATTACGTCCAGACGACAGCGTGGATTGCTCCACGCCGCTTTGGGGTGGTGCAAAGCGAACGGATATCCGAAGGTAATATTTTTTTCAGTAAGATGACTATTCATTAGTGCAAAATGAATGAGCTGAAAGGGACTAAACATTAAAAAAAGAATGATAGCAGACTTTTGTGAAATATCATAACGCACCTCTGTCATGGAAGGCCGCCAAGCTGCGTTTGATCTGATACAGATTGATGCTATAAATGTAAGTTTTTTCAGCTGATCAATGTCGTAATCTTCTCCTAATCTCGGATCCACTAACATTTCTATTTTCCCTTCATTTAAGTATGGTTTAGCCTGTTATAATTAACTTTAATTAGATGCAAATGATAACATTACATATCTTATATATATCCCAATTTAAATTCAATTTACCCAGCTGAGCAAGCTCTTATGTGATCCATCAACTGGCTTTCTTCCTGAGATAATCTCCAGCAAAAAAACACCAAATGCAAACACATCTGTCTTCTCATCAACAATCCCATGCGTGAAGTACTCAGGAGCCAAACATCTAATCAAAACATAAATCAACAATTATTTGATAATATATAAAGATTAAATCTTTTAAAATTTCATTAAAATTACAAACCCAAATGTTCCTTCGATCGGCGCCACCGCCCGATGACTCCACTCCGATGGAAGCCCTCTTTCCAGCCCCAAATCTGAAATCTATTTAAAAAAAAAAAAAAAAGCATTTTTTGTACTGAATTCAATCAAGTTATCAGGTATAATTAGAAGTTTATTTGGTGCAGAATCATACCAGAGGGTCAAAATTGGCAGAAAGCAAAACATTTGATGCTTTAATGTCCCTATGAATGATTCTTCTCTGACAGTCCTTGTGCAGATAATGGAGTCCACGGGCTGTGCCGACGGCGATCTTTCGCCGGAGTTTCCATCCCATGGGCGGCAAATTCTCGCCTGAAAAACAAACGGACTGTAAATTAAGAGTTTGTAATTCTGAACAGATGAATACAACTCTGATTTACTGAAGCAGATTCTTACTGTGGAGATTCGAAGAAACTGAGCCGCGAGAGGAGAATTCGAATATGAGATGGAGATTTTGATCTATGCTGAAGCCGAAGAGAGGAATCACATTAGGATGACAGACATGGCCGATAACTCCAAGCTCTGTCAGGAATTCTTTCTCCTTCTGCTCATCAGCTGAAGCTCTCATCAGTCTCTTTACTGCAACAAGCTGGCCGCTTTCAAGCTCTCCTCTGTATACTTCAGCATATCCGCCACTTCCAACTAAATTATCTGAATAAAGGAAGCAAATTTGTGTCAAAAAATGATTTTTTTTTTATTTTATATCCGCCACTTCCAACTAAATTATCTGAATAAAGAAAGCAACTTTGTGTCAAAAAATGATTTTTTTTTTATTTTAAACAGAAGTGTTGGATTAACCTTGATGGAAGCCATTAGTTGCTCTGTAGATCTCGTCATAAGAAAAGAATCTCCAATTAGGTTTCGGAACTTGCTTGAACTCTGGTTCTGTATGGCCGGAATTGCTTTCTCCATCAACCAAAAAGCTGTTTTTCTCTTCATACCTCGTGGTAAAGGGAGATGAGAAGAGGCGTTTGACGCTTCTGCCTTTCAGACTCCATTTTTTCATTCTTTCCGAGGACTTTGATCACTGTAAACTGGAAGTGGTGGGTTAATTAAAACTACTTTGAAGTCCTTTGTTGTGTTGCTAAATGCCAAAATAATGGCTATTGTAGAGAAATCAAAGGTGAAGGCTTAAGAGGAATCAAATACCGAGTTGCAGAGGCAAGGGAGGAATCATTTCAAGGCCTATATAACGTGACCATGAAGTGTAAGCCAATTGGCAAAAATAAGAGTTAGTGAGACTAGGAGCATATTCTGAAATGCTTTTTCACTTCATTATTTTTTATAGTGTCATCTCAATGGTATTTAGATATTGTTTTTTAATTTTTGGTTTTTTGAATTTTTTGTGATGATAGTCATAAAAGTGTCCAACTTCCTTACAAAAATATTTATAATACTTATAACACTTCTCAAAATAATTATTTTTTTCATTAGAATTTTATGATATAGTTATAAAGCACTTATACGGTGTTTGGCAAGTGAGTTTGGCGATGGTGGAGAAATAGAAAGGGAAGGAAGATATGGTGATCGTTGATATTTGGAGGGGGTATAGCATGGCATCTGTCATGACTAAAAAGAGGTAGATGGCCGACAAAACGGGAAACGGCGCAGTACCAATGTCAAGGAGATTCTCCTGCACAAGATACAATCACGCCCCTTGAAAGTGGAATCGAATACAAGACTTCTTAGGCTAGAAATTAAACATAATCTATAAAACATACAAATAAATATAAAAAATCCCTCAAGATAGAAAAACAAAACATATAAATATGTCCCTACTATTAAAGAGTTCTAATTAGAAATAGAGAGATAGGAAAGGAAAATAGAAAGGGAAAAAAATAGCTAAAATCAACAGTAGGACCGTCCCAACCGAAATTTCTTTCAACGATCAAAAGAGTTTATGCACTTGTCTGTCGTAGAACTGTTGGCTCCCAAAAATTGCAACTCGTCGCAGATTTCCAACGTTTAGGATCATAAGCTCTGCCATATTGACACTCCCGTGTCATCCTCTCCGAGTAAGAGAGGGTTTTTCTTCCTCTCTACAGGTTTTGGAATTTATCTACCTCCATAATAAGTCAATGTACTGTTGTGACTTTGGGAGCCCAACTACAAAATCTATGCTCATTTCTATCAGAGACAATTCTAAAACATGTAAATATTTCTAAAGTTTATCCAAATTGAATAAATAATCATTCTTTTTTGGCACAACTTGAGTTGAGACTTCAAATAGATGGGTATTCTCACAAACAAAGACTTGGGCCATTAAATATGTAAATTGCTTCTCTCACACTTCATACTTAGCTAGTTGGATCACACAAAAGACAAACTCTCAGTCAAATTTCCAATGTTTAGGATCATAAGCTCTGCCATCTTAAGACTAACCTTGATTGTTCTATAAGGTAGTGAGTCCTAAGAGTTCTCCTGGACATCTTCATTTTCTTTTGATTCACTATCTATTTTTTTAACTACTCGTTGCTCAATGAAGGATATCGCCCTTCAATTTCAGGAATCAGATGCAATGTGCTTAATGTCGTGACACTTTCTTGCTGATGCAAATTTGAAAATGTTGGTTATCTTCGCTATTTCCTCCCACTAAATTTATTTTTTTTCTCAAGCAAGGTGGACTTGGACTAAATTTCATTTGAATGGTGTGGTAGTCACCCATGACGTTGCTATTTTCACCTCCAAAGTTTGAGATGTACATCAAGTAGGGTCCAATGTTGTTGTAATTGCATCATAATACTAATAGTCGGCCCTAGTCCTCCAAAATACATTCCAAGGAGGTTACGTGATAAAATGGCATAGTGTACATGTCAAGGAGGTTACGTGCAAGCTACAGGCACACCACTTGCAAAAATAAAGCGATACAATATTTCTTAAGATAGAAATCATAAATACAATCCCTAAAATACACAAACAAAACTCTAAAGTCCCTCAAAATAGGAAAAAAAAAACATATAAATAAGTATTTAATTGAAAAGATCTCTAATTAAAAATAGAGATATGGGGAAGGAAAATAAAAATTATAGAAATTGGTTGAAATCTCCAACGTGACTTCGTCCTAGCCAAAACTTTTTCCACAATCGCAGAAGCTCTCACTCTCGCCTATCATAGAATCGTGTGATCTCCTAAAGCGATACAATATTTCTTAAGATAGAAATCATAAATACAATCCCTAAAATACACAAACAAAACTCTAAAGTCCCTCAAAATAGGAAAAAAAAAACATATAAATAAGTATTTAATTGAAAAGATCTCTAATTAAAAATAGAGATATGGGGAAGGAAAATAAAAATTAATGAAATTGGTGGAAATCTCCAACGTGACTTTGTCCTAGCCAAAACTTTTTCCACAATCGCAGAAGTTCTCACTCTTGCCTATCATAGAATCGTGTGATCTCCTGATTTTCGTATCATCATCACAATTGCAGTTTGAATTTTTTTTCTTGTTAGTTTTTAGAAATCTATGTTGCCGAACTATCTTTTATGACCAGATCTGCTAAAATCTGATAGGTATAAGACAATTGTTGTATGATTTTTTAACTATATATTTATAATGCTCATAAAAGCTTTCAAAAAAATTATTTTTCTTACAATAATTCTACAACCACATCTACCAAAAAAAAAAAACACATTTTTAAAAGAAGTCGAGATTTGTTTTAAGAGTTTGGCATGATCATGCTACACCGAATCATTGTCGCTCAGTTGATCTGCTAAAATCTGATAGGTATAAGACAATTGTTGTATGATTTTTTAACTATATATTTATAATGCTCATAAAAGCTTTCAAAAAAATTATTTTTCTTACAATAATTCTACAACCACATCTACCAAAAAAAAATAACAAATTTTTAAAAGAAGTCGAGATTTGTTTTAAGAGTTCGGCATGATCATGCTACACCGAATCATTGTCGCCCAGTTGTCGTTGTTGTTGTGTTACACAGTCGTTGTCGTGGGATCATCATCTACCGGTTGTCGTTGTCATTGTTATTGTAATCATACACCACTGTTGTCGAACCACCATGGTTCGATCAATGGCATTTTTGACGCTGTCACCCGACCAATGTTGTTGAACCACAACAATTATAGTTGGACCACGCCGTCGCACTTGCGGTATGCAATCATCATCATTATCTAATCACTATCTTCTAGCGATCATCATCATCATCATAGTACATAGCCATTTTCGAACTGTAATCACCTGCCCAACAGTGTTATTGCCACCATTACTATCATTGTTGGATCCCTATGTCTGTCTACGGCCATCACCATTATCGCTCAATCAAAGTCATTGGATCACAACCATTGTTGTTCGAATATTTTGCCTCGCTTACATAGTAGTTGCCACTATCATCACTAGACCACCACTGCCACAACGAAACCACTATTGTCGGGCCAACACTATGCTGCACCATCCTCATGTTGTTGTCATGATGCACCACCATCATCAGACCGCTACTATAACAGATCATTATTGTCAGGCTACTATCATGATGCACCACTATCATCAAATCGCAACTGTGTTGGACCATTTTTGTCTATTTGTTGGCATGATACACCACAATCGGTTCGCCGCTGTGATGCACTTTTGTCGAGTTGTTGTCATGATGCACCGACATCATTAAGCTACCATGGTGTTAAACCGCTATTGTCGGGTTATCATTGTACAGGAGCACTAATGTCGATTTGCCTTAATGTGGAACCATCATCACCGGGTCGCCTCACCTGTTGGAACACCACGAGTAGGTTACCGCCACTTCCAAATCACTGTCATCATTGGTTGACCACAGTCGTCTAGTTGTTGCCACTGCCGGATCCCCTTCACTATCTTCAGACCATTATGGCTGCCAATGACGTTGGCGACATATTCTTTTTTAGCACCCTACTTATATCGTTAGTCTTCCATCATAACAATCCGGTTACTGTCACTTCCCCAACATATTCTGCAACTCCCCTAGCGAAAGTCACGCTGATAACCCCACTCTTTTGATATTGCTTCCAGCTAGTCAAGACCAGATAAAGTCTTGTAGCATAAATCGACATAGTTGAATTATTTTAACTAGGTCAGATCCCATGATTTTTACTATTTCGAGTTTTTCATATAAAAATCTCTAGTGCCCCCTCTTAAGAGCCTGTTTGAGGTAGTTGGGTGGCCATGAAAATAATTTCCTTGAAAAATATGGTGGAGATTATAAAAAAATATATTTTTTGTAAATATAAAACAAAAATTCTCTAAGAGTCACTTCGCTTTAACAGTTGCAGTTTAAAAAAAATAGTTTTCAACCACAAAAACTTCTAGAAATCAGTTCTCCAAACAAATCTATACTAACGATATGAAACACAAAACACTCTGAGAGGGGCAGAATAGTGGGCATATGAATTGACACGTGTAATTGTAACAAATCATACTTTTATCGTTTGACTAGGATAATATGTGGTGGTATTTAATAGGCTTTCCTAACTTATCCCTATTCTCAATTAATATAAAGTGGAGAAAAAAAATGAAAAATGAAAAAAAAAATCATTTATGTGTATTTATGTGAGTAGGAATCTATGTTTGAATGAAGGCATTTATTGTAGAATTATTGGAATTTTGTTTTATTAGAGGGCATTATATGAGGGAAAAGGTGTGGTCTAGGAAGATTTACATACATACAGCTCAATTCTATGTATTTACATGCCCAGGTGTATTTCAGTATGTAAAAGTAAAAATGATGATATTTTTTATATGATATTTGAGCGGTATTAATGTAAGAAAGCGAAATTTAGGTATTAGATTTGTAAATACGTAAAAGTAAAAATGATGATATTTTTTATATGATATGAGATATTTGAGCGGTATTAATGTAAAAAAGCGAAATTTAGGCATTAGATTTGTAAATACATATATAAGTTAGGAGGTATGTATGTATATGCCACTTAAATATCATCTTCATTAAATACATATTTTGAAGTATTACAATTTCAATATTAGGCCAGCATCATTTATAAAGTATTTCTAAAGTTTTTTTTTTGTTTTTTTTTTGAAATTTTTGTAATTTTTTTGTTTTTTTTTTTTGAGTTTCTGACTTAAAATTTAATAAAATATATTATAATTGAAATGTTTTGCCATGTATTCTTCATAATGAGTTCTTGGAAAAAAGGTATCTTTAAAATTACTATAAATTTCTATTAAATGAAGATGTTGCTTGCTCTATTTATAGTAGCAGCTTTATTTGCAATAAGTTTGAATAAATTTGATGCCCAAAAAAAAAAATAAATAAATAAACAAACAAACAATTCTCTCTAATTTTTTCTCAATAACTTCTAAATTTATAATTTTTTTTTTTGGGAGTGAATATAGCAAAATTTTATGTTATAAAAAGTTATGTCATAAGTAATTATCTCTTTCGCTTGTAAACTTTCTTAACAGTGATTGTGCAAATCACTATGGAAGGGTTGCAGAAAGAATTTTTTTATGGTGAGAGCGGCGGTTATGAAATGGTCTGTATACAGTCAGAAGTGGCTACTCGGGCCGCAGAAGATCGAATGGCTTTCAGCCCACCTTTCAGTATGAGCCAGTTGAATAGACGAGTCCATGGGCGGACGACGAGAATGTCAGCTTGGAGCATCAGACGGTCATATGAGATTCAGCTAGATGCTCGTGCAGGAAGAGCAAGTACGAAGGCCGAGTAAAGGGTGGGCGAGTATAAGAATCTCCAAAGATAAATAGCCTCCCCTATTAACTAAAGTAATCAACTGGAAGAAGATCTCTCCAATACTCTAGCTTTAATGGGGATATGACCAAGAAGATAGCTATATTTGTTTAGAGGTTTAGGGATGATATAAGCCTAAATGAGTGAATTTATAAAATTCAACCCTGATAAATAGGGAGTATTAAATGTAAATCGAGATATGATCCTTGAATTTTTCCATCAATTAGAGCTAATGAAAGCCCCATCTAATCCCCCCATCCTGCTTATCTTTGCAATAACTCACCCTCTAGCGCTCTCTCTCTCTCTCTCTCTCTCTCTCTCTCTCTCTCTCTCTCTTCGTATTCTCTGTCGTTCCCGATGCTCTATTTCTTATGTGTGATTCAAGGAAAAATCTGTGTTTAATAGATTTATTATTTGATGACGGGCAATCATCTCATTCATTCTTCTTATTGGAGGAGAGTTTTGATGATCATGAATATGCAAATTTAGTGTCGATATTAATAATTAGCAGGATGCCATGCATTGGTTGACAATCAACCAGGAGCATAAAACGTTGGACAAAGAAGAGTGATATGCTTTGTCATTCTTCTTATATGAGGTGATTGATGACCAAAAGGCAGCATCGAACACCAGTATACATTAGATGATATTCGATAATAAAATGTCAATTGTCAATTACCACTAGTGGTCTATTCGATTATCCTTTTCATATAGAGGGAGATCTATGACTAAGAAGATGGGTCTTGGACATTAATGGTTGGTAGGAAACAAACATCACTGATTGAGGTACATCATATATTGGTTTGTGTTGAATGACTATTGATATAGAGCATTAGATTTCAAATGAAGTCAATAGACAATTAAGTCATTTTTTTTATAGGATGAGTGATTGATGACCAGAAATGTGAGTATCAACCATTATTAGCTGACAAACATCAAGCATTATCGGGCTTGAAATGACGATTGGTGAGGAATCTCAAATTTCACATGCTCATCAGTAATATATCTGATCGGTCTCTTCTATAGAGGTGCAAATAGCTAATAAGTTAGCATTAGACAACATTTGTTTACTATATAAGAGATGGGACTAAAGAATAGAAAGGTGGGTGTCCGACATCAATTGTAGATCGATTCTGAACTTTTCTAAGCCTCTAGTAAAGGTTGACTGTGATAGTTCATGGTTAATGGGTAGTCTTCCTTATACTAAAGCATATCCTTGATTAGAAAGGTAAACATCATACATTCATGACTAATAACTGTTAGGCATTAACATACATTGAATCATAATTGACTAAAAACAACATTGCACAATAGTTGTTGGTTTGCTAAGTTATTCGCTTATAACATAGATGCTAGAAAACTAAAAAGATAGATGTCATATAATGGCAAGCGAAGGTCAGTCACACTCTCTTGATATGTGTCGAGCAACAATTTATAAGGAACGTCATAGATTGGACGATGTCAAGTAGTCTAACTCAGTTCTCATTAGAGGAAAGAATATCAAACAATTGGAAGGGCTGGTGTTTAATGTCCAATAGTCGACCGACTATAGGAGATGTTGATTAGCAGACATTGACACTGTTAAATGAATGAGCTTTGACTTTGATCTATCAATCAACCTCTATAACTTGTAGACACAATTATATATATATTTTTGTATGAGCTATTTTGATCATTCTTGCCAAAATAATCAAGACACTTCATTAGACATTCAAATTCAATCCTCTTTGATCATTTATCATTATTATGATTATAAAATCTAATGGGAAAAAATAAGTTCTATTCAATGGAAATTTCTCTCTTACATTTAATGTATTTAAGATTTAACATTTTAATTTGTGTATCTCTACCATCATACATTCACCCTCAATAATCTCACCTAGAGCACTATATAATTTGCTAATTTAAAATTGTCTTAAAAAATTTTAATGTTACTTTCAAATGTAAAATAAATGTAGTTGATCACACATCACTTTATCATGATTTAAACAATGTATTAATTTTTTGCATTTTTTAATAGTACAAGCCAAAATCATCTTTTAAGCAAATTGAATCTCTCACCAAAATGATTAATGCCAAAATTAACACATAATTAATATATATATAACTAAAAAATATATAAATTTATTTTAAAAAATCATTTTTTTATTTAAAAATATTATCAAATTAAAAAAAAAACTAATTTATTATATAATATTAAAGATGAATTAATAAAAGAATCTTATTGATGCAAATCATCTCCTCATCCCATTATTCATTTTAACAATTATGTGGCAAAACAACAACCAATGACACCAAATGTACTCTTTCTTGGTCAAAGAAATCAACCAAATTTACTCTTTTTTGGTATTTTTGCAAATTTTCTCTCCATTTTTATGACACATAGAAACTAATATGAATTGAGATCTCAAAAAAATAAATGAAAGTACTCTTTTGTAGAGAAGGCTCCATAGAAGTTGCATATAAATACTCTAGAACTCATAAGAAAAAGCACTTCTTTAAAAGTCATGATTGAATCCCAAATCCTCTCCCACTCTAGGATTCATATTGAAGAAGTATGTATATCTATCATTACTTTAATTTTTACTCTTAACAAATCCCAATCATGATAGTAATGAAATTCACCAAAAATTTTCACCAATAAAAATATGAAATCAACTTTTAAGTGTTGAATACATGTGGTTAACAATACATTATTTTATCTTGAATTAAATTAGTTGACCTTATCTAAAAAACATGTGTCGTTGCAAACTGGGTTTCAAGCTTGGGTCAGCTCAAAATTGAGCTCATATAGGGTAGACTTGGGTTGACCAAGGTTAACTTAGGTTGTCTTAGGTGGTCTTAGGTTGACATAGGTTTGACTTGGGCTGACTTGGTTGATCGGGGTTTGGGTCGAGTCGGACTTGGGTTGGATTTGGTTGAACCCGGGTTGGGTCATGTCAAATCTAGGCTGGGCAAGGTCAAACTAGGGTGGGTCAAGTTGAACCTGTGTTGGGTTAGATTAAACCGGGCAACGGAAAACAAAATCATATTTTAATCTCACTAACTTCAATTTTTATCATCAAATTAAGACATAATTAATATACTTTATTAAAAAATAAAAATTTTACTCTTATATATTATAAATATAAAAACCTTTATTATAGAAATTAAGTTAATATTCCTATAAAATTGAAAGCAAGAAAATCACTTTTTTAAGAAATAAAAAAGGCACTTATACAAATCATCCTATTGATTGCCATCCCATTATTTATGGTATTAATTAGGTTACAAAAGGAGGATAAAATATTACTTATATCCAATAAATCTAAGCCTCCAAATACATGGGGTGTGGCCGTGTGGGATCCTCTCCACTCAATCCCGGCCAAAGAAATCAGCCAAAATCCTCACCTTCTTCACAGCAATCTCAGATGCATGATCCAGTATATGAAAAACATGACCCGCCGCCGGCGTCTCCACAAACTCCGCCACCCCCTTCCACCCGCTTTCCTTCAGCCTCTCGTAGTACTCCCTCCCCCTGTACTTCAAATAATCCTTATCCGCCACCGTCACCAACACCCGCTCGCAACCCAGCCCCGCCAAACTCGGCGCCCCCTCCGCCGTCGGATTCCACCTCGGATCATCCAATCCAACCGCTCCCGGAAACGTGAACCACCACCGCCGGTTCATCCAATCCCTGAACTCCCTATCCCGTGGCTCCAACCCCACCGGCTCCGACCCCCAAAAGAACGGATGAATCAAAGCCATTCCCTTCACCCGCAACCCCGCCGCCCCCAATCGCATCGCTAACTGGTGAACAATGTTCCCGCCGGCGCTATCGCCGGCGATGAACAGACGGTTTAGATCTCCGAATCGGGCGATCCAGGGGTCGGCTAAGGAAATGACCCACTGAATAGCGGCCCATGCGTCTTCGTATGCGGCGGGGGGGCGGTGCTCTGGCGCGAGGCGGTAGTTGAGGGAGATGCCGAGAAGAGGGGCGGCGGCTGAGAGGGTGTTGAGGAGGCGGTGGTAGTTGGGGGATGCAGCAGATTCGATGCAGAAGCCGCCTCCGTGGAGGTAGAGCAAGATGGGGATTTTTTGATCGGAGGAGTTGGAGGTGGGGAGGTAGAGGCGAGCGGAGATGTTGGTGGAGGTATCGATGATGATATCGCGAGAGTCGACGCCGGTGGTCAGATCGAGGGAAGCGGGGACGGCGGCGGTGGCGGCGGATCGG